TGGTGGCACTAGCGCTGTGTCCAGGGGTGGGAGGCACCACCAGTGATCCTAGCAGCTGCCACTGGGGCAGCTGTGGGAGCTGCCCAGGCAGGCCCCTCGTTGGCAAGGCCTTGGCAGTGGATTCAGCTGCCCGGAGGCCTCTGTCCCCGCCTGGTTTGAGCCTGGTGCTTCAGGCTTCCCTCAGCGACAGAGACTGCCCGATTTCCGCCCCTGAGCTTCTTTTCTGTTTGAGTTGGCCAGAGGAATTTCAGTTGTTTGTGCTCAAGAGCCGTGATGGAAGGGTGGTGGTGCCTTCAGACACCTTAGCTGAGAGCTGATTCTGCCTGCAGCTGACACCCGTCTCTGATTCCACACCCACCGTCCTCCTCAGGATCCTGTAACTGTATATCCTGTTTAGGGGACCAACTGCAGTTCTGGCAACTTGAGTGTCCTGGTCGGCTTGCCATCCAGGTTCCTTTTTCCATGCCGATAAACAAGCAGCCTGGTTGAGAGAATAGCCCCGTGTGCGGCCGCCTATGTGTTGGGTTAATGTGAGTTTTCAGTGCAGGTCTTCCCTGAGGATGTCAATAAATAAGGTTTTGACTTGAATCCTCAGAGGTAGATGCCTTCTTTGGGCGACTAGCTTGTGTGTGCAGCAAGATTTACCTGGGAAGGCTGGGGATATAGCTCAGTTGGTAGAGTGCTTGCCTTGCATGCATAAGGCCCTGGGTTCAATCCCCAGCACTACACACACATGCATACACACACACACACACACAAATTTACCTGGGAAACAAGCCCTCGTGTGATGGGAGAAAGGGGTAGGGGCTAGGAACAGAAAGTCCCACCCCCTTGGTGGGATGTGTGTCCTTTGGCCACGATCTGGTTCTGACCCTCATTTGCTAGAGCGTGACCATAGGTCTGACCTCATTGCCCTCATTGCTTTGCTACAAGGATTCCATGTAAAATGGAGCACAGTACCAGGTGCATGTGAATCCTCAAGAAATGCTGGCTGCTCACAAAAGAGCAGCCCAGAGGCAGTGACAGTAATGATAATAAATGCTGCTGGTAAGGAGCAGAGGCCTCTCATTTTCGGTAGAACTGAGGAGGTTCTGGAAGCCAGCATGCGGGAGGGATCCCAGATCTGACCCAGGCCCAGAACGCAGCCCTCCTGCCTCTATAAACCCCAATCACTTGAGGGATTTGTGCTGGCTGCAGAGCTGACCATGAGAACCTTCAGGGTGGACTGTGGAGCAAACGGACATCACAAAAATATGCACACCTGAGGGCTGGACCCTGCGTGTGCCCCACCTTCTGAGTCCAGGTGTGCCTCTGGCTGGCCAGCTTCTCCCCCAAACCCTTTTCAGAAGCAAACCCCCAATCTGCCCCTTCTGTTTTTCAGGGCTTTCTCTCTTTAGTCCCTGTTTGTCCCCTTGAAGACTTGCCTCTTCATTCCCAACTGGCTCACCCAAGATCCTTTGCTTCATTGGATTCTCTAATTTAGAAAAATTCTCTTGTGATTTTTAGGGGTGGAAGCAAACATTCTTTTTTCTCATCCCTCCAAACCTTAACCATACAGAAACCTCATGTTGATAAACACAGAAGAAATGTTTTCCAAACTTTTTTCGTCTAGTGGTGGAATCTTTTTTCCAAACAATATCTTATGCAGAACCCCAAGATGTGAAACATGCTTTTAAAAATCAAGATGAAATTTACATAACATGAAATCAGCCATTCTGAAGTGAGCAACTGAGTGGCATTTAGTGCCCTTGCAACCCTGGGCAGCCGCCCTCTCCAGCTAGTTCTAGAACACTTTCATCACAGCACAACAGGACCTGCACAGGTTCCCCTTAGGCAGTCACTCTCCTTCCCTCTGTCCCTGGCCACTCTGGCTTCTCCTCTCTAGATTTTCTTATTCTCAATGTCGCATGTGAACAGAATCATGCACCCTGTGGCTTCAGATGGAGCATCTTTCCTGGACATAACAGTTTGTAGGTTCATCAGAGCCGGAGCCTGGATCGATTCCTCACTGTGTTCTGTGTCTAGTAGTATTCCATGGTGTGGCTAGACAGGGTTGCACTTACCCATTCGTCTATTGAAATGAACACGCTTCTGCTTTCACAATCCACAGAGGGTGCTAAGCTCCTCCCCTGCGTTCAGCTTTTCTCTGGTGGGGCCTCAAATACTTCCAAGGAGGCTCCCTGAAATGCTAATTTGTTTCCCTTGGAGTGCTCCTACCTGGAGGCGAAGTCCAGGCTTCCACAGAACTTTCCTTTAAAAGCTCTGCCACGCCCCCCCCCCCCGGTGGGCAATGGGGGGAGGAATCCAGGGAAGCAGGCAGGGGGTGCAGGGAGGGTCGTGGGTGGGTGCCTGCGGGGGTCCCAGTGGGCGGGCTGCCTGCTGCCTTTTACAGCTTCCCTCCAGAAACTCCAGCCACACCTGGGTGCGCACGGTCCACCCGCCCCGTCTACAGGTGCCAGGCTGCCGCGTCAGCGCCTTCCCACAAGTTTCCTGGCTCTCCGCGGAACTCGAGTGGAGTTTCCCCAGGTGCACAGCAGAAGCCCGCTGAGCCTTTGACTCCTTCCTAGAAAGAGAGGCCGATCCCGCCGAGAGCGTAAGGGCCAGGACCGTCCGGCTGTTGAGTGCAGCCAATCAGATGCAGGGGCTGCTTTAGGTAGATAAGCCTCTTCTGAAAGGAGCCCCGCTGATGTAATCACCGGGAAAATCCTGTGTGAAAGGCCGGAGGGAAGGGCTGCGGAGCCAGATTCCATGTGGGCAGGAAGGCTTGTCTAATCTCCCGGGCGAGGCCCAGGTAGGAGGCTCAGCTGGTTGGTGCCGGTGCAGGGGTGGAGACAGGTTGTTTGCCCGGCTGGTTGGGGTGGCTCAGGGCCTCGGCCCCTGAGTCGAAGAGGAGAAAGCCCAGGTGCTGGAAAGCAGATTCTGGAGGTAGCGTCCAAATTCCAGGCCGGCCCCAAAGGTAAGTGAGAAGGCAGAGGGTTGCCACCCGCTTCCTGGCTGGGAGCCCTGCTAGGTGCAGAGATTCCAGATGCAGCCTGGCCTTCCCTCTGCGGATCTGAAGCTTACACTTCACCAGTTGTTGGCCATTCTTTCCAGTCTGTTCAGAAACCTAGTTCATAATCCCAGCTTGTGGGGAGGCTGAGGCAGGAGGATTGGGAGTTCAAAGCCAGCCTCAGCAATTTAGTAAAAACTTTTCTCTAAATAAAATACAAAAGGGCTGGGGATGTGGTTCAGTGGTTGAGGGACCCTGGGTTCAATCCCTGGTACCAAAAAGAAAAGGAAAACAAACAAAAAACCTAGTTCCGATACCCAGTTTTTAATAAAATTTTTAAATTTATCTGGTGAATCAATGTCAAAATTAATATCACTTTGGATTATATGAAACTATCGTTTTGGACAGTTCAACTTGATGGATGCAGGGAAGTTAATAACAGTAACACTCAACATTTGGAAGAATCATCTTCCAAATGAATGGAAGAAATACACTGAAGTGATCAATTTTAATCTTTTTTTGGGGGGGGTTCTGGGGATTGAACCCAGAGATACTTTACCACAGAGCTACATCCCCAGTCCCTTTTATCTTTCATTTTAAGACAGGGTCTCACTAAATTGCTTAGAGCCTTGCTAGATTGCTGAGGCCACCTCAAACTTGTGAGCCTCCTGCCTCAGCCTCCCGAGTTGCTAGAATTGCAGTGGCATGTGCCACTGTGTCTAGAGATTGAATTTAAGTAATTGAAGATTTTTACATTCTATAAGTGAGCCTGAATTTTTGTGTGTGTGTGTGTGTGTGTTCACAGCAAATGGCATGAATTTCATAAGGGATCATACCATTTCAATGAGTTAGGGGTGAGGGGATTTGAGGACTGGGGTGACATCGGTTGGGATTTTCTGTTGGAGGCATTTTACTTGGGCCTACTCACAACACTGATGTCTTATTTCCAGTGAATGTTTACTCTATATAGCTCATGTTAACTACTCTCTTGGTGTTGGTTGAATGAATAAGAAAACCAATGGGCAAAATAATACCATAAAAGCCCTATTCCTGTGGGGGGAGAAATCTTGAATTAGAAGGCAAGAGGCTGAGTTCAATTTCCAGCTCTTCTCCTCCCCAACCTGGGTCTTTGGCAGGCCCCTTGCCTTTTCCAGCCTCAGTGTCCCTACTGGGTTAGACAGATGTCTCTAAGACACTAGCTCTAAAGGTCTCTGGTGTCTAAGTCTTCGTAAATTAGGTTTCTCCACCTGAGAAAAGTGGAGATGAGGGCTTTTCCTGCCTGTGTGACAGGGTATCAGGACTTGGGTGCATGACCTCAGTGTGTGGGAAGCGTCAGCATCACAATGATCCTGAATAAACAAACCGGCTCACCATGTGAGTGAGCACCGGGAAGGACTCCAGCTGTCTTGGCAATTTTCCGTGATGATTTCCCAACTACTTATTTTCCTCAGCGAGGAAACCATTCTGCTTTCGTAAAAATGTGTGTAGAAGTGAAACTGATTTGGTGAAACAAGTGTTTAGAGTAAAATCTACGAAGACCATATGTTGTTGAGAGCAGTGGGTTTCACACCTGCTAATGTTGGGCACCCAGCTCTGCTGTCACTAGCAGTGAGAACCCGTCATGCTGAATTCCCCAGCTGAACACAGTTGGAAACAGCAAACACTCCATGAGCAATGCTTCTCCAGCCCTCGGCCCACAGGCCCTGTGTGGCTGGCTGTTTGTGTATAGACGTCTGCGTGTGCGCTTGGCATGGGCCAGACAGACCGCGCCCACCCGCCTCCCAGCAGGTCTGCCAACCCCAGGGCGGGGAGGGAACAGCAGCCCCGACTGGGAAAGGAGCTTGGGTGGCATACTGCAAAAGCAAACCTTCAAAAGTAATTTTCCATGATGTGACTACAGAGATAAGCCTTTCACATCGTCTGGCTTTGGAGTTCGGGGAGAGGTGCAGACACAGAAAGCCTCAGCGCTCCTTCCATTCTGCACCTGTTGACACCCTCTCATTTCTTCCAGTCGCCCCTGACAAAATTCTGAGGGACGTTCATTGGAAATAAGACATCTGGACTCCCCAAGTGACCATGGGCAACGAGAACAGCACCTCGGAGCGCCAGGTGGGTATGGGGAAGCTCCTCCCTGGAGTCGCACGGCTCTCTTGACCTTGACCACACTCCTCCCTGCTCCCCAGCGCCTCCTCTGTGCCCAGGAAGGGCCAAGCAAAGCCCCGGCTCATGCCTAGACGCACCGTGGAGGCTTGTTGATGGCATTTTCAAATTCTCTCATTTTATAAGCCATGAACTTTAGTTTTCCGTTTTATTCTGAGCTTCTAAAATTGACATAATGAGAATTTGGCACACTACTGCCCAGACTGTGCCCACTCAACAACTTAACATGGATTTAGTGGAGGAGGTTAAAATCTTCCCAATCTTCCCTTAAATAGAGCCATGGCCATTAAACATGATTTTAAAATCGATCTGCATTGAGCAGATGAAATGCAAACTCTTGTTCTCATAGCAGGCAAGGTTTCCACAATTGAGGAATGGGCTTTTTAACTGCCGGATGTTGCCTAAGGCTGGGAATAGAATCTATCCAAATTCTATCATGATCCATTTTAAGTCTGAGAATATTAACAATGTCCTGGTGAGAAAAATCAGGGAGACACGCTTTCCCATTCCGCTTACATGGAGTGGAAATTTTGGATTAATGGTGTTGAGTTCTTTGAATGAGAAAATTGGATCCCAAAGCCAACCTACTGCAATTTGTTTTCCCTCTGCCACCTTCTTCCCTACAATTTTCTTTTCTCAAGCAGGAAAACAGAAACTATCAAAAGAAAAGGTGGCAAAGTCCAGGGATTTTATGGTTAGGCAAGAAACGATTGGTGTGGGTGTGAGACAATAGGGAGAGGTGGGCACTATGGCAAACAGGCGAGTTCTTGTCCAAAGCAGCTGAAATGAGTTCTTGTCAATTCCAGCTGATGGTTACCATGTGGGATGACTCCTCCTTGTGCAGGGCTGTTTCTTTAAAATAAGCCAGAAGCCCCTATTTTTCTATGAAGTCTTAAATTTTTTTTAAATTAAACTTTGAGATAATGGTAGATTTACGTGCAATTTTAAGCAAAAATACAGAGAGATCCCATGTACCCTTTACGCAGTTTCCCTTAAATATAACATCTTGCAAGACTACTACACAGTATTATAACATGATTCCTCTGAAAGCCCTTTTATAGCCACACCAGTTTCCCTCTTGTCTCCCATTCTAGACCCTGGCAACCACTAATCTGTTCTCTACTTCTATTATTTTGTCATTTCAATAATGTTATATAAATAGAATTATACAATGTGTGACCTTTTAGGTTATTCAGCATAATTCTCTTGAGAGTCATCCAAGTTGTATGTATTGCTGAATAGTATTCCACTGTATGGAGGTGCTGTAGTTCCTTGAATCATTCATCCATTGAAGCAAAACTGGGTCACTTCTCATAAAGTTGCTGTTTTCATTTCTCTGAGATAAATACCCAAGAGAGCAATTGCTGGGTCACATGATGGGTGCAAGCTTAGTTTTATAAGGTACTGCTGGGCTTTCTCCCAGTCACTGTACCATTTTACAGTCTCACCACCAACTTATGAGCAATCCAGTTTCCCTGCATCTTGACCATCATTGGGTGTTATCCCTATTTGATGCTGCCAGTCTCTTAGATGTGTTGTGTGATCTCATGATGGTTTTAATTTGCATTGCAATGATGGATAATGATGTTGAAAAAATTTGCTTATTTGCCATATGTAGACATGATTCTTTTTGTGTGTGTGTGGTGCTGGGGATTGAATCCAGGGCCTTGTGCATGCGAGGCAATCACTCTACCAACCAAGCTATATCCCCAGACCTAGACATGGTTTCTTTTTCCAAAGTTTCAGTTATCTGTGATCAACTATGACCTAAAGACATTAAATGGACAAATTCCAGAAATAATAATTTATAAGTCTTAAACCTTGTGCTGTTCTGAGTAGTGTGATAAAATTTCACACCATCTGGTGCAGGATGTATATCATCCTTTGGTCCAGTGTATCCATGCTGTATATGCTATCCACCCGTTAGTCATTTAGTGGTGTCTTTGTTTATCAGATTAACTGTCATAGTACTCTGGTGCTTGTATTCAAATAACCCTTACATGGTATCCTAATGATATTTCACAATGCCTATGTTGTTCATTTTACTTGCTCTCATCATGTAGAAAATTACATCATCTCACATCACAAAGAAGAGAGTGAAAAAGAGACCACAGTTACATAACATTATGATTTATTGTATAATTGTATTTTATTATTAGTTATTGCTATTAATCTCTTAATATGGTTAATTTGTAAATCAAACTTGGTCATAGGTATATATGTATAGGAGAAGCATAGTAAATATAGATTTCAGTATTACCGTGGTTACAGGCATTCACTGTGGTCTTAGAATATATCCATTGGATACATTCTGTCCATGTCTTTTGCTCATTTTCTATTTTGATTATCAGTATTATTGTTGTTATTTTAGCATTAGGTTTTAAGAATCCTTTATACAGATGAGATATTAGTCTTTTGTTAGATTATGGTTTGGTAATTATTTTCTCTTATTCTGGAACTTACCATCCTTTGATCAGGGTCTTTTACAAAGCAAAAGTTTAAATCTTAAAGTGGTACAATTTATCAGTTTTTTCTTTCATGAATAGTGCTGTTGATATCAAGTCTAAATGTTCTTTGCTTAGCCTTACATCCTGAAGATTTTCTCCTATTTTTTTTCTAAAAATTTTTACATAAATTTTACATTTATGTTCAAGTTTATGATCCATTTTGAGTGAATTTTTGTGTAAGGTGCTAAATTTAGGTTGAAGCTTATTTTCTTTAATAAATTGGGCTTGGGATGTAGCTCAGTGATAGAGCACTTGCCTAGCATGTGTGAGGCCCTGGGTTCAATCCCCAGCCCCCCTCTTTTTTAGAGCAGTTTTAGGTTCATAACAAAATTGAGCAGAAGGTGCAGAGATTTCCCATGTACACCCTGTCCCCACGCAAACATAGCCCCCCCGTTGTCAACATCCTGTACCAGTGGGGTACATTTATTATGACTGATGAACCTATGCTGGCATCTTATTACCCAGAGGTCACAGATGACATGACGGTTCAGGCTGGATGTTGAACCGTCTATGAATTTTGACAAATGTGTGACACGTATCTACCCTTATAGTATCACACTGAGTATTTTCACTGCCCCAGGGTCTCTGTGCTCTTTATCATCTCTATAGTTTTTGCCTTCTCCAGAATGTCCTATGGTCAGAATCATGCAGTATTTTTTTAAGATGGGTTTCTTTCATTTAGCAATATATGGTTGAGATTTCTCTGTGTCTTTTCATGGCTTGGGTGCTGGTGTCTTCTGAGCGCTGGATGTGCTAGAGTTTACTTGTCTACTGAAGAACATCTTGGTTGCTTCCAAATTTTGAATAAAGATGCAGTAACATCCATGTGCGGGTTTTTGTGGAGACGTAAGTTTTAACTTCTTTGGGTAGATAGCAAGGAGTGGGCTGCTGGGTCCTATAGTGAGGGTGTCTGGTTCTGTAAGAACCTGCCAAAGGCAGGCCATGGTGGCTGTGCCACTTTGCATCCCCCCAGCCTGTGAATGAGGGCTCTTGTTATGGTCTGGATCTTAAATGTCCCCCATGTTCCTGTGTTGAAGGGTTAGTCCCCAAGGCTCCATGTTCCCCAGAGGTGGAGTCTTTGAGAGGGGGTTCAATCATGAGGGTTCTGACCTCATGGGTAGATTAATCCACTTATGACTTTGGAGCTTAATGATGTGGGGAAGGGTTTTGTTATAAAAGTGCTCTCTCTCTCTCTCTCTCTCTCTCTCTCTCTCCTGTCCAGCTGCCATGAGGTGAGTAGTTTTTGCTCCTTACAGTGATGTTTTGCCCAAAGCAAGAGAACCAACTGATCATGAACTGAACCCTCAGAAACCAGGCTAAAATAAATCTTTCTTCTTTTCCAGTTCTTTTTCTCAGGCATTTTGTCATAGCAATAGAAAGCTGTGACACATTTTCTGACACAGGATTCTTCCAAATTCTCACCAGCATTCTGGATTTGGGTCATTCTTGTAGGTGTGTCGTGGTATCTCATTATTGCTTTATTTCCCCGATGCCTGATGACGTGGAGAATCTTTCCACATGGGCCACTTGCCTTCTCTCTATCTTCTTTGGTGAGGCGTCTGTTAAAGTCTTTGGTGTATTTTAATCAGGTCATTGGCATTTTTATTGCTGAATTTTGAGAGGTTTTGTATATTTTAGATAGCAGTTCTCTTTTAGATGTGTCTTTTGTAAATATTTTCTCTTGGGGCTTATCTTGCTCTCTCGAGGTTGAGGTTCATTTCTTGGTGTTTGTTGTAGTTTTGCCCATTACTGTCTGTCTCTCCAGCCCCATTTGTTGAAAAGACCATTCTTCCTCTACTGAGTTACTTTTGTATCTTTGTGAAAGATCAGCTAAACTGCTGGTCGTGGTGATGCCTGCCTGTAGTCCCAGCAACTTGGGAGGCTGAGGCAGGAGGATTGCAAGTTCAAGGCCAGCTTCAGCAACTTAGTGAAACTCTGTCTCTAAATAAAAAGTAAAATGGGCTGGGGATGTGGCTCAGTGCCAAAAAAAAAAAAAAAAAAAAAATTAGTTAAGCATATTTGTGTGGGTTGCTTCTGGGTTCTCAGCTCTACTTCATTGATTGTCTTAATTACTCTAGCTATTGAACATGTCTCGAAGTCAGATGCAGTGATTCTTCCCACTCTATTCTTTTTTGAAGTTGTTCTCAGTATTCTGGAACCTATGGTTTTTAATATAAATTTTAGAATAGATCTATGTATACAAAAAAAGATTGCTGGGCTGGGGATGTGGCTCAAGCGGTAGCGCGCTCACCTGGCATGCGTGCGGCCTGGGTTCGATCCTCAGCACCACATACAAACAAAGATGTTGTGTCTGACGAAAACTAGAAAATAAATATTAAAAAAAATTCTCTCTCTCTCTCTCTCTCTCTCTCTCTCTCTCTTTCTCTTAAAAAAAAAAAAAGATTTCTGAGGCTTTGATAGGAATTATACTATATCTCTAGATCAAGTGGAGAAAAACTGACTTCTTTCCTGGGCCGAATCTTCTAGTCCAGGAACAATGGACTGTCCGTTTCTTCAGGTCATCTTTATTTCTTTTCATCACCATCATTTTGTAATCTTCAGTGAACAGGCCCACACACGACTTGATAAGTTTTACTTAAGTAGAACATTTTCTTTGGAGTGACTATAGATGACTTCGTGTTTGTCACTTTGGTGTCCACACATTTATGGTGAGTGCCTTGATTTAGTGTGCTGATGTTGTATTCTACAGCTGAGGAGCTCAGTTACCAGTTCCAGGGGCTATTTTGTTAGCATTGTTGATTCCTTCAGATTTTCTATGTAGACAATCATGTCATTTGCAAATAGAGACTATATTGTCTCTTTTCTTCCATTTCCATGATTTTCATTTCTTTTCTCTTTTTCTTTAATACAGCGACTAGGACTCCCAGTGCTATGTTAATTAAGAGCAGCGAGAGAGGAATCCTTCTCTTCCCTTATTTCCACTGCCAAGGGGAAAGCATTCAGTCTTTACTATTAAGCAAGGTTAAGCTGCAAGGTGGTTTTTTTGGGTTTGTTTTTTTTTTTTTTTTTTTGGTACTGGGGATTGAACTCAGGGGCACTGGACCACTGAGCCACATCCCCAGCCCTGTTTTGCATTTTATTTAGAGACAGGGTCTCACTGAGTTGCTTAGCGCCTCGCCCTTGTCGAGGCTAGCTTTGAACTCATGATCCTTCAGTCTCAGCCTCCTGAGACACGGGGATGACAGGCTTGTGCCATTGTACCCAGCTTGCAGGGTTTTTTAATAAACACCCTTGTCAGAGTTGAGGAAGTTCCTCTCTATTCTAGTTTGCTTATGATTTTTTAAAATCATGAACAGGTGTTGGTTTTTATCAAATGCTTTCTCTGCATCAATTGAAATAATCATAGTGTCTTTCTTCTTTGGACTGTTGATATGATGGATGACATTGGCTGATTTTCAAATGTGGAACCTGCCTTGCACACCTGGAATAAGTCCCACCTGGTTGTGGTCCATAATTATTTTGACACGTGCTAGCATCAACTTGCTAATGTTTTGTGGAGAACTTGTACCTAAATTCATAAGAAGTGTTGCTGAGTCGATTTCTTTTGGGGTCTGGTTTTGGTGTCAGAGTAACGCTAGCCCCACCAAATGAGCTGAAAAGTGCTTACTCCTGTTTTCTAAAACATTGTGTAAAATAAATCTTACATTAAAAAAAAAAAAGTTGGCAAGCAGTTTCGGTTATTTTTGGACACTGTGGACCTGGCAAGGGTGCTGCTGGCTGGGTCAGCTCAGGTCCCCTCCTTGTAGTCTCCGCCTGAAAGATTGTTCCCTGCTGTGTTGGTGTGGAGCAGGCACAGCCACCCACAGAGAGCCCTCCAAGGGTAGATGAGGCACAGGGCACGTCCTGAGCATGGCCTTCACCCCTCACTAACAAACCAAGGGGCTTGGCTTCAGCCCTCCCTGGGTTCCCCTAGACTCCACTTAAGGTTCAAGTTCCCTCAAGTCCCCACAGCTAGACAGAGCAGCAGTACTGACCCAAGGAGGGACTTTCATTCTTCAGGGACCTTTAGCAACGTCTGGAGACAATTTGGTGATAACGTCTGAGATGTAAGGGGCTACTAGCATCTAGGTGACAGAGGTCAGGGCTGTTGCAAAATATCCAACAATGATCAGAATCGTCTCCCCCAGCACGGATGGATTTGTCTGGCACAGAGCCCCAACAGTGCCAAGAACAGAGGAGCGTTTGCCTTCTTAACTGCTTTAACAGAACTCCTTCGGGGGGTGGGTAAACTTCCCTAAGTGGAGATGAATTTTGATATGATGGGATGGCCAGCACCCCGACAGAGCAGGTTCCTGCTCAGGAGGTGTGAGCCGCCCGGGAAAATAAAAAGTCTGAAATCATCAGTAAGAAATAAGACAAAGACAAAGATTATATTTAAAAAGCGGAGCATCTGTTGGGTCTTCCAGCCCTGATAGAACTGGAACTGAACAACTGAAGAGGGCCCCAATTCTGTGTTTAAGGGGGAATGCATCAAAGGTGGGGGTAAGGTTCAGTGGGAGGGGTCTTGTTCGGTGCTTGCTTCTCTGTGTGGCAGGGGTATGCATAAACAGGTTGACTGGCCTTTGGCAGGCTACCCCCATCTCTGGGGAGCATGATCCAGGCATTCTCGACCTGGGGAACTTCATTCCAGGAGTTCCCAGAGGAGTGGTCTCTGCCTTAATGGCTCAAACGAACCATAATTTATATATATATATATTTATATATATATATATATATATATATATATATATATATATATATATATATCCTCCAACATTCTGACCTGAATTCAGGCAAAGTGAAGATGCCTTAGCTCTCTCCCCATTGACTAGAATGGGTGGCTTTTGTCACCTGGCAGAGACTCACAGAGTGGGACACTGTCAGGTGAAGGGTGAGGACTCTCGCAAGGCTCTTGCTGTGTGCACATTTGCCAAAATGCTTTCCATAAAGGGGATCCCACCTCCCACGCTCTCCTCAGGGTGTGAGGGCCCATCTCACCATGGCCTTGCAAGCTATGACTGTTTTAATGCCTCAGGACCTTACAAATCAGAAAGGTAAACATGTGTGGGTTTAGATGCCCTCATCCCGCTCTGCTGACCCCTTGCTCCCCAGGCCTGCCAGCTCCCCACCCCAGCCTCCCCGCTATGTGGGCCCTGTTGAGTGTCAGGGTTGCCTTCCTGGCTCTGCAGAATTTCATCTCCAGCCTCTCCCGTCATGAGCATTGCACACCCAGCGGGTCTCTGCAGCCACCCGAGTTCCTCAGACCCCACTCAGCGTCCCCCTCCCCCATCCTGCTTCTCCTCCTGTGCTCTCCCTCCTGGGCACCAGGATCTGGTCTGCCATCTAAGACCAGAATCTGGAGGCCACCCTGACACTGCATGCTGCCACCCCCACATCTGCTGTGTCACCCTGTGATTAATTGATGGCCTGGGTATTTAGCCTTCTGAATTTTGTGTGATTAGGACTTTGGGGGGCTACAGGAGACAGAAGCCCACCCCCAGTGATGGTGGGCAGAGACAGGCGACATTGGCTGGTAGAAATGGGGAGTCCACAGCTTCAGCCACGCATTGGCTTAGTCCACAGCTTCCAAAGATGACCTGAGCTCCCTCCTCTCTGGGTCTTGCTTTATTTGCCTCTGTGATTCCTCAGTGTTCAAGGGCCTGGAGGAAGAGAAAATGTGCCCTTCCCAACTCCAGGTCCCCATGCTTCTGCCCACTAAGGGTCCAGCCTGATTTGGCCTCCCTAAGGAATTAGACCAGCCCTGATTGTGTCGTGTGCCTTCCCTGGGATCAAACACTGTGCCCAGAATGTGGACCCTCTAATAGCCCAAGTCATGCACCAAGCCCTGGAGGGCACAGGGAGGCCCGCTCACCTGTAGAGTTTGGAGCAGTTTCTCAGAGGACAGAGGTGACACTGATTCAGTACATCGTCTTATCTAAGGTTTCCCCTCGTCCTTCCCACAACCTCTCCCCTCTCACCTGGACGGTCACTATAGCCTCTGTGCTGGTTTCTCTGGCTCCATGTGCAGTGAGGGTCCACCCAGGCCCCATTCCTCCCAGCAGGCTCTTCATCTGTGAAGATGCACCTGGGGGTCCCTACAGCCTGCTTACAAGGGAACTTGGGAGGAAAGACGTGAGATGAGGAATCTCCTGTCTGTAGGTTAAGGAGCAGGTTTGCAGGCCAGCTGTGTCACCAGGGCAGAAGATGAGGGACAAGCCAGCCCAGTACTGGGCTTCTTCTCCTTCTGTTGTCTGATTCCACCTGGGTGCCCATGGGCAGGGTGGGCGGGAACAGGCTACGCAGGAGTGCATTGCCCACCTGGGGCCTTGGAGTGGAAGCCAGAGGCCCTGCAGGTCTCTGTTCCTCTCACCTGTCTTAACCTGGGACCCTTGGCTTTCAGCAGGAGGACGCCAACTTGCGTAACGTTGTCCTGTGGCCTCCGAACCCTGACGCTGTGCAGGTATGGGATATATGGTGCCCTGCATGTGGCTTTCAGCCCTGCTAACATCTGTGGCTGCAGACATCTGGTGTGCGTGTGCATTTGAATACTTAGGTTTCTCCTTCTCCCTGCCATCCCATAGACCCCTAGTAAGTTGTAAAGCAGTAGAAATGAGCAATACATGTTTAGGTTTTTAGAAATAACATTTTGGTGTGCGAATTCCCAACCTGGCTTGGCTGATGTGCTCTGAGTTGAGGAACGAGGCTGCTGTTGTTAGAGGATTGGGACGCAGACCTGGGAGCCATTACCAATGCTTCACGCTCTTCTGCTTTGATATCTGTCATCCTGGAGTGAGGCCCGGAATAAGGTAGTGGCCCCATCTTTGCCTCCAATGGGCAAAACGAATTAGTCATTAAAAAGATTAAATTGAAAATCCACCCTCAGCGTCATGATGCAGGCATGCAGCTAGCTGAGCTCACCGCTTTGGCTTTGCCCAAGGTCCTTGCCATCCACCAGATGAATAGCTCTCCATGTCACAGTGGTTTTCCTGAAGAGGCTGTTGGGGTCAGCGTGTGCCTGTGGGTGTGGCCGGGGAGGCAGTGAGACCCCGGCTCCTTGTTTGCCTGCTCTGAAGTCCCTGTCATGCCGTTGTGCGTCTGGCTTAGTCATCAAGGTGATGTGCTCTTTGCTTTAAGAGGTGCTCCACCCTGAAGCCAGTGCCAGGTGGGGTGCTTGATGGATTCGAGTCTCTGCCTATTCCAGCAGGGAGTGACATTTGAGGTTGTGAAATGACGAAGTCTGGTGATACCTTTGAACACATGTGAGGGTCCAGCCTGATTTGGCCTCCCCCAATCCCTTGAGATGGGCAGGCCCAGGCTGGTCACTATCTATTTGTAGGTGAAGAAAGAGGCTCGGGCGCCAATCATCCTGCTCCCCTGAGTGAGTGGAGGAGTGAGAATTAGAACCCTGGTCCTCAGGGGTCACGGCCAGGCCAGAGGGTTTTTTTAAATATTTTTTTTTAGATATTGATGGACATTTACTTTATTCACTTATTTATATGTGGTAAGAATATAAGTATAAATGTGTGCTAACAACCGAACCCAGTGCCTCACAGATGCTATAACTCACTGAGCCATAACTCCAGCCCCCAGGCCAGTGGTGTTCAAACTGGATTCTGGGCAATCTGGTGGCCTCCCACATTGCTTCAAGGACTGGCCCAGTCTCGACAGGGCTGTTGGAAGGGGAGACTTCGGGTCAGCAGCCCAGTTTGCCTTATGTGGCCGTGTGTCATAAGACATTTGGAAGAAAACCTTTGGAATCAGGGTGGATATAAGCCCTGATCAGGCCATCCTCGTCATTGTTCTGTCTTGAGTGTCAGTCAGGAGGTCAACTTGCCCACTGCCTCAGGACAAGAGGCTGTCTTGGGGACTCCTGATCCAAGGCTCCCTGCCAGGGGAGGGGCACGGGCTGGCTCAGGACCACACAGCACTTTGCAGCAGAGCTCAAGGGCTCGGCCACAAGCTCCTGCTCCTGGAGTGCAGGTGCTGGTTTAGGTGTTGAGGTTCCAAAGGGGAGCAGGACAGTCAAGGTCCCTGCCTCGTGGAACTTATGTCCAGCCAGGGAGCCAGACAAGCTGGACTTGCTGGCGAATAAGCCAGCAAGTTAATAAGCTGTTTTAATTCAACATGAAGAGAACTGAAGATCATTGTGTTAAGTGAAGTGAGCCAGGCACAGAAAGACGAGTGCCCGTGAGCTCCCCCGAGGAATCTAAAGAAGATGATCTCATAGAAGTTGAGAATGGAAGGCGGCTGCTGGAGGCTGGGGCTGGGTGGGTGAGGTTGATCAGTGGGGACTGAGTCACACTTACATGGGAGGAAGAAGCTCCACCTCTCCAAGAGCTAGAATGCTTTCATATAAAAATGGAGATAGATACATTTACCCTGATTCAAACAGCAATATGTATACTAAACCCAGTTGCTGAACCACTGAGCCACATTTTTATTTTTTATTTTGAGACAGGGTCTTGCTAAGTTGCGGAGCCTGGCCTCAAATTTGCAATTCTCCTGCCTCAACCTCCCGGGTTGCTGGGATTACAGGCATGTGCTACAATGCTCTGTCAAAATATACATAAATTAAAACATCATATAATATTCCATTAGTATGTGTGGTTTTTGGTTTTATGCATCAGTTAAGAATGAGTTAAATTAATAAAAATTTGCTTATCAGTCTCTATTCTAGCACCTGAATGGTTCAGCTACCATCTCCCCAGCCACAGCTTCCCTTCCGTAGGGGAGAGCAGACAGTGAGTTCATAGGCAAGCATCACTGCATTTCCTACATGAGCTGGGGGTGGGACTGCTGCTTTTTCCTCTGTTTGGGGATTTTTACAAGATTTTTGCTAATGCATAACATAAAGTGGGACATTTTCTCTGTTTTTAAGCATGCAGTCTGTAGTCCCTTGTTCTAGGTGGCAGTGGAGGTCCTGGGATAGTAGAGAGTAGAAGCCTGAGAAGCCACAGCAGGTGTGACAGGGAACTGGCGGGTGGCACCCCCATGAAGGCAATGAAAGGCAGCGGGCCCTGGTGTTGGGGCAGTAGAGGGGCTCTGGGCTCCTCAGGGGGGAAGACACAAGACAGTTTGGTGATAACATCAGGGACAGCAGGGTCTCTGGTTCACTTTCCAAACCCTGAAATTCTGGAATGTGGAAGAAAAATCAGCATATCTGAAAGGGCCTCAGTGAGTGGGCTCTGAGGTCAGCCAGGCACCCGGAAAGGTGGGAAGAACTTGAGGGATTAGGAGGGGGGGAGGATGGCCCATCTGGGGGCAGAGACAAGGTCAGAAGAGACAGTCAGATGGAGGATGGAGCAGCTCGGGTTTTGGAAGGGGCCCCAGTGGGGCCTTCAGGCAGCCGTGGAGGGGAGAGGGGATGTCAGAATGAGAGGACCTCTCTTCTGAGCCTCTTGGCAGCAGGCCAGCTGATTATTTTGATGATTTTTGCTTTTGCAATTCTTTGGCAACAGCTCATTGGTTGGGTGAGTTACTGACAGTTTGGTTCCTCGAGAAACGAGGCAAGGCACGGAAGACAGCAGGAAACAATTTTATTTGGCTGCAGCCAGGTTCAGAGGGCCCAGCTTTTGCTGTAATCAATTAATCCCCTGAACCCCGAGTTCAGGGAGTTTCAGAGTTTTGTACCCAGCATGCAAGGGGAGGGGCTCAGAAGTTCACAGTCTGCAGAAGTTCACATAAAAGCAGCTTTTTCTTTCACTGTTCTGGGCAAGTTAACCCTTCAGGGACAACACCTGAGAAGGGAGAGCTTCTTCTCCCCTTTCTATTCTCCCCCTGCCAGCTGGTACCATGGAGCCCAGTTGGTAACTTATCTTAAAAATGTAGACATCTCTGTGAAGCCCAGCTCAAGGCCAGAGGCCTTGTTTGCACATTTCTTCAAAGTACTATACTAGATTCCTTTGTGAAAACTAGTAAGGGGGTGTCCAGCACCTGAACTGCTGGTATCTTCCTGGCCAGTGGCCAAGTAAACAGGGCAACACGAAAATAGGAAGTTTATTGAATTCTTTTGCAGAGACTCTTTTGCTGATAGTCCTCAAATCAGCCATGGGGAAGATTTTTGGAGAAGCTCAGTTAAGACTTTTCTTGGAGAAAGGGGTGCCACTTAAAGCCAATTTTATTTTTTATTTATTTACTTTTTTTTTAAAGAGAGAGAGAGAGAGAGAGAGAGAGAGAGAGAGAGAGAGAGAGAGAGAATTTTTTAATATTTATTTTCAGCGGACACAACATCTTTGTTTGTATGTGGTGCTGAGGATGGAACCTGGGCCGCACGCATGCCAGGCGAGCGCGCTACCGCTTGAGCCACATCCCCAGCCCAAAGCCAATTTTAGTAGCTCCACCTCGGGACCCATTGACCGGTCACAATTATTCCTTGTTTCATCAGCCACACGCTGTTGAGATCCTAGCTTTGGTCTCTGCTCTGTGTTGGGAGGGAGGCCAGTGGCAGGGGAGAGCTCCATACTGAGCCTGCAGCCTGCTCTACCAGGTCAGCCAACGCTGCTCTCTGCCCACCCCTGGGCTGCCTCTGCTGCCCGCCCAGTCCTGCCTGTCCCTCAGTGACTGACACTCAGGCTGCTCCCAGACACGCCCAGCAGCCTCAGATACAGCGCAGCCTGGCCCAGGCCACTCTCCCTGGGGCCTTGCCTCCCTCACACCTGTGCTTGGAGACAGAAAGAAAGCCATGGGGAGGAAATGGGGTCTGCAGCCTGAGGACGGCCTTCGCCCCTCAGGCTGTGTGCTGTTCTGTTTGAGGGATAGAGGGCCTGTGACTGTGGGTGTGTCGCCAACAGCTGCAAATGCCTCCTGCTGAGTCAGCAGAAGGGCCTTCTTTCGTGCCTGGGGGACCCAGGAGATCCACATTACCACAGCCCTGGGCTAGCAGCGGAATAGGCAGCCTTTTCTCCCAGGTACTGACAGCAGGTAGGACAGTAATGGGAAAGAAATCCAGTGAGAAGACAGTTAGCACCGATTCCATATTCATAACAATGGAGAATCTCTCAGTAGAGGCATCACACCTGTCCAGAGGCAGGATCACTGTCCCTGGCACAGTCACCAACTCACCTAAATAGCCTGGGTCCAGGCTCAGGCCAGGTGCCTCTTCTGAGGGCCTGATTGACTACTTTGTCCTTCGTTGGAGTAGCCACTGGGGCTCTCAGTAAAGGAGCCTTGGGTCTGTTTCTTCCTATAGTAATAATCACTAGCATGTCTGATTTCCACCACGGCTTAGCCCTGTGCCAAGTGATGTGCAAGTTGTATTTTATTTGACCTTGAAAACAGCCCTGTGACTGATCCCCTCTTACAAGTGCGGCCCGGGAGGTGTCAGCCCACATGCACATCAGCAGTCCACCTTGAGCTGTGGGAGCACCTCCCTGGGCTTCCTGCCCCTTGACCTTGAGTCAAGCCTTCTACTGCCGTAGCTTGAGAAGGAGGGGATGTAGGAATTCCAGAGGGCAGAACGGA